CTCACTTGTTGCAAATATTTTCTCCTTGTCCGTGGCTTATCTTTTCATTCTGTTAATAGTTTTTTAAAGAGAAGGTCTGAGTCAAATTTATCAATTTTTATGGATCATGTTTTTGGTATCATATCTAAGAAATCTTTGCTCAACCCTAGATCACAAAGATTTTCTGTGTTTATTTGGAGAAGTTTTATAGTTTTAAGTTTAACATGTAGGTTTACATTGTATGTGGTATGAAGTGTGGTTAAAGTTAATTTTATTGCACGTGGATGTTCTAGTACCATTTGTTGAAAAGACTGTCCTTTCTCTATTGAAATGCCTTTGTACTTTTGTTCAAATGCCTTTGAGCATACGTGTGTGGGTCTAATTCTGGACTCTATTCCGTTCCTTTGATCAGTGTTTGTCCTTTTGCCAGTATCGCACTCTTGATTACTATAGCTTTATAGTAAGTCTTGAAATGAAGTAGTGTTACTCCGACTTTGTTCTTCTTTTCAGAATTGTTTCTCTTTTAGTTCTTTTGCTTTATGATATAAATTTTAGAAGTAGCTTTTTTATTTCTACGAAAAATTCTGCTGACGTTTTGATTGTGAGGGCACTGATCTGTAGTTGAATTTGGAACAGAACTGACGCGTCAACAATATCGAGTCTTCCAGTCCATTAACAGAGTATCTCTCTTCATTTACGTAGGTCATCTCTGGTTTCTTTCATCAGTTTTTTTTTGTTGTTAATATAGAGTGTCTGTATTTTGTTAGATTTGTGCCTAAATACATATTTTTTTAGTTTTGGATTTCTGTTTCTTTCTTGGTTTTGTTTTTTGTTTTGTGGATTTTGGTTTCCTGTAAATAGTAATCTTTTAAAAGTTTTCCATTTCCAGTTGTTCTTTGCCATAGAAATAGTAGATTTTTGTATGTTGATCTTGTATCCTGACTTTTCTAAATTCATATATTAGTTCTAGTAATATTATTGTAGACACTTAGGGATTTACTACACCAAAACTTATAGTGTCTGAATGGAAATAGTTTTATTTCTTCCTTTCCTGTTTGTCTGTCTTTTTTTCTTCTTCTTCTTTTCTTGCCTTATTATACTGGGTGTAAACTCCAGTACAGTATTGAATAGGAGTGCCTTGTTCCTGGTTTTAAGTGTAAAACATTTATTCTGTCACCATTAAATGTGAAGTTAATTGTAGAGCTTTTTAGATGGACTTTATCAGGTTGAGCAAGTTCCTTTCTCTTCCTAGGTAGCTGAGTTTTTATCATGAATGGGTGTTGAATTTTGTCAGAAACTTTATCTGTATCTATTGGGATAATCATATAGATCTTATATTTCTTGATAGGATGAATTTTCCACTGTTGACCAGCTTTGCATTCCCAGGATCAACCCCCTTTGTTCCTGGTGTATTTTCCTTTTTATATATAGTTTCATTTGATTCACGGATATTTTATTAAGGATTTTTAAGTCTCTGTTCATGTGGGGTATTGATCTATATAGTCTTCTTATACTGTCTTTGTATGGTATTAGGGAAATGCTGACCTCATCAATTGATTTGATTAACTTTCTAATTAATTTGATTTCTGTTTCCTCTAAGATTATATAGGACTGATATTATTCCTTTAAATTTTGGAAGAATTTGTCAGGAAAACATCAGGCCTTCATTTTCTCTCTTATAGAAGGTTTAAACTATGAGTTCATTGTATTAAAAGTCATAGATCTACTCAGGTTGTGTGTTTCATTTTGAGTGAGTTTTGATCGTTCGTGGTTTTAGAGTAATTTGTCCATTTCATGGAGGATTTGTGTGCATAGCGGCACTCCTACTATTACTGCCATGTTTGCTTTTCACGCCCGAGATGTCTGTCATCTGTCGCTGCTTCCGTCCTGACACATGTCACTGTGTCCTGTGTGTGTCTCATTTGCGCCTTCTTTCTTTGCCCTTTGGCAGTTTTGCTAGAGGTTTTGCAGTTGTCAGAGAAGCTATTATTGGTTTCATTGATTTCTCTCTATTTCTTGATCTTCGATGTTATTAATTTCTGCTCTTCATTGTTTTCTGCTTGTTCTGGGCTTATTTTGTCCCGGTTGTGGATTTGACGCCTTGGTTTTGCTACAAGCATCTCATGTGATAATTTTCCCTCTAACCGCTGCTTTAGTTGCTTTCCACACATTTTGATATGTGGTGTCTTCATTTTCCTTCATCTCAAAATATTTTCTTATTTACCTTGGTTTATTGTAACTAGTAATTTTGGCCCATGGATGATTTAGAAGTTTGCTGTTTACTTTCCAGGTGTGTGAAGATTATCTTTCTGTTATTGATTTCTAGTAAAATTCCCTCATGTTCAGAGAGCACATTTTGTCTATTTTCTGTTCTTTTAAATTGAACTTCCAAATATGCAGATTCAGATCTTTCACCAAATTTGAGGTGTAATTATCCATTATTTCTTCAAATATTTTTTTCTGCCCCACACCCTTTCTTCTGCGACTTTGATGACGTGATGAATCTTAGGTCTTTTGTTACTGTTCCACAGCTGCCTCAGCAGACTCTCTTCTTTTTGCTTTTTTTTTGTGAATCTTTTTCTCTTCATTGTTCAGATTGAATGATTTCTACTGATCTGTCAAATTCACTCTATCATCTCAAATGCTGGTATTTAGTCCATCTAGTGCATTTTTAAATTTTGGTTATTGGATCTTTTCAGTTTTAAAATTTCCATTTGTTTTCTCTTTATGGATTCTGTTTCTTTGTTGACACTTTCTCAATATTCTCTTTAAGGGTTCACGCTTACTTTTGGAGAATTTTTATAATAGCTCTATTAAAATGTTTTCCAATTAATTCCAACTTCTGTATTATTTTGGCATTGATGTCTGTTGATTGTCTTTTCCTGTGTGAGTCTCTTTTGTTGTTTATATGTTGAGTAATTTTGGATTGTGTTTTAGATATTTGGATGTTGTGTTATGAGTCTCTTGATTTTGTTTAAATCCTATGGAGAATATTGATTTTTTTTTTTTTTTCCTGCAGGCAAACAGTCTGGTGGGGTTTATGCTACAAGTTCCAACTAGCCACCTTTGGATTGTAGTTGTAACGTCAGTTGTATTTTCAAAGAAAGACTTTGCCGTGCTTACCAGATCAGTTCTGAGTCTGCACCTTCCAGAGGCTAGTTTTGGACTGGGGCAGTGGTCTTAGCTTATTTCTCAAAGTCTTTAATATGCCATTTAGGATCAGATCCAGGTAAATGCTGCTCAGGGGGTGAACCTAGAAATTTACATGAAACTTTCTAGAGTCCTTTTCCTGAGCTCCTGGTACTTTGTGGTCTCTCTGATACTTTTTCTTTCCTTGGGCTCCCGTTTTTGTTCCTCTGTCCTGAAGGTTGATGTTTTATTTTTCTTGTTCTGCTGCATATTTCCCACAGTGACATCCATGTCCAAGGCAAAGCAGTGTGTGCTTGTCTTGTCTCTCATTCCTTGGGGTTCCTGCTTTGCAGTGGACAGGAAGATGTAGATGTTTGGCAGTAAGTCAAATTTTACAGTCCTGCTTTTCTCAAATACATACTTGTATGCCAGACTGGCCCTGTCTTTCTGTGTCAGGCATTTCAGCAGAGATGGTCCTTCCACTGAGATGTCTTGTAAAAGTTCTTTCTTTCTTTTTTAATGTTTTTTAATGTGGTGTTTCTTATGCATTAGGACATTTCTTATGCATTAGGACATTGCCTCCCTTCTCAGGTCAAGTTGTAATGTCCATATGTTATCACCGATAAAAATGTAATTTATCTGTGCTAGAAATTTGGCAAACTCTTATTCTTTGCTGTCAATCAATATTACCAGCTGAGCTTTTCTAAATTCCTAGGCCCCATCCCTAGAGATTCTGATTCAGTAGTTATACAGTACAGTAAATAAAAAAGAAAATGACCTACATGCTTATGTTCAATTTTAGCACTCTTGTTTCAATGCAGGTCATTTGCGTGGTCTGGGGACTTTCCTTCTGGACAGGTATATCTGAGGAAGATTGCAGTGATGGTTCTCCTTGAAGGTCGTTGATTCAGTGGGTGTCCCAAGGCAGCTGGGTACCATCTGACCAAACACGGTGTCAAACCACAGTGGTACTGCCTTTGTCAGGAGCTCAGTCCCTTACTCTCATCCTAGGAATATTCTTCACTGCTTCACCCTTTTTGAGATTGTCCCTGAATCATCAAACAAACCATTTCTTAGCTGGTTATTCCTAAACCTGTTCAACAAGGGGTACAACTTAATACTACTCTCCTGTCGTTTTCTTTATTGCGTTTAAGGACAAAAAGTTTAACTTTTTTGTTGAGGTATAGCATACATTCAGTAAAGTTCTTGAGGTATACCAATCCTTGTGTGGGTAGCTTGAACTTTTCATGTGTGTACCCACATAACCACCATACAGTCAAGGCATAGAACATTTCCTGCACCCTAATAGGTTCCCGAATGTTCCTTCCTAGTCAGTAACCCCCTTTCCCTGAGTACTGTTCTTCTGATATCTAGCACAGAAATTAGTTTTACCCATTCTCAGACTGCGTATAAATAGTCATGTAAAATGTGTACTCGTGTCTAGCATTTTTAATCAAATGATTTTTGTGGTCAAGCTTTGCTGAGTTATTTAATATTATTGTTTCTGATTCCTTTATACTTAAAATACCACATTTAAAGCAAAGCAGATTTAATTTGGCTTTTAGTTTACATTTTTCCTAGGTGAGGTAATTTTAAAATTCTTTAGGAAATTTCCCATATTCCTTTTCCCACTCTAAAACTTTCAGTGACTTTCTGCTTCGTCCCCTCATACAGTGTCTTGTATCCATTTCCACAGATTATTCTTGCCCTAACTCTCTTTTTTCCTCTTCCACGTTTCCTTCTACCGATGTGTGGAGATGGGGAGGAGATTTCCAAAATCTTACTTCCTCTTTGTTCCTTGCTGTGCCGGCATTTGGTCTAGGGTGAATTCCAGTTGAACGGAATGTCTACGGTTACTCTGTTAACCTCGTGTTTCCTTTCTCTTCTAACAGCACGATGGAAGTGGTTCATTGCACGATGTTCAGCTGTCATTGCCGTCCAGTCCGGAACCGGAAGATGGTGATCAGATATATAAGGTATGACTAGGTAGCCATGCTGAAGTTTTCAGAATTCTTTCTTATTACTAAAATTATAAAGCAATAAAAGTTAAAACATTTAGTAGTAAATGTATTGAAACCTGCAGCTTTGCTGTCTTGGATTTTAATCAGGTTTGCTTTTAACTTTTGCTACTTTATTACGTTAAAATGATATCCCTGGTGGTGCCTTAATTTGAATTTATTTTATCAGTTGGATAATCATTTATCTCTGTAGTACTAATAGTGGAGAATTCTTTATTATTTAAATCATTAAATTTTTAAATTCTTTTTTTATAATTATGAATAACAGTTTTTAAAATATGACTATGAATAAAATTAAAAGGATTAATAGATACTTCTCATATATAATCACATTGAAGAAATATTCTGAAAATGAGATTAATTTATCTTTTTTCATGTTTAAAAATATAATTATAAAATGCAGGTGCATTAGAGTGTTTGGAAGTATGTTTTTTATAATTCTCATCTTCAGGTCTACTTTTCATTGAGAAAAGCTCTTTTCTTTTCCAACTGTTCTGAAGCACAAATTTATTTCTTAAGCACACATGAGTATTCTTGATTTTTTAAGATATTTCCAAGTAGGGGCTGGCCCCGTGGCCGAGTGGTTAAGTTTGCGCGCTCCGCTGTAGGCGGCCCAGTGTTTCGTTGGTTCGAATCCTGGGCGCGGACATGGCACTGCTCATCAAACCACGCTGAGGCAGCGTCCCACATGCCACAACTAGAAGGACCGACAATGAAGAATATACAACTATGTACTGGGGGGCTTTGGGGAGAAAAAGGAAAAAATAAAATCTTTAAAAAAAAAAAAAAAAAAAAAAAAAAAAAAAAAACATATAAAAAAAAAAAAAAAAAAAAAAAAAAAAAAAAAGATATTTCCAAGTAAAATTATTGGTTGCTTTTACTTTTTATTTTCAGGGTATGCTAGGCAGTGTTTGATAGTCATCTGCACTAACAAAAAACCTTGCAATATTGGTGGCTCACTTGTTAGTTCTCAGTGTTCCACATCAGCTGGAGATGGGCTGGGACTCTGCTTCCTGTGTTGTCTTCATTCTGGGATCTAGGCTGAAGGATCAGCCCCTGTCCTGGGACGTGTTGTTTTTGTCCGTGAGGGAGAAGAGCATTTGCAGAGCCACATGTACATTCTGCCTGGATGTAGCATAGGTAGCTTCCAAAACAAGTCAAGTGGCAAGCCTGATATTAGGAGTCGGAGGACACAATTTTCTCATAGGATGTGGAGTGACATTGGGAACAAGACTGTATAGAAAACAATCGAATCAAAAGAATGTGGGATAGTAGTCACAGCTAGTTCTCTAATCTTGGCTTTTCAGTGTGTTCCCTGCCTGTCCTTGCACAGATTCCCCCCATCTCTGGCTCCTGTGCTGTCGTGCCTGTAACCGTGCTCTGATCAGCGGGTCTGCAGCCGCACGGCTCTTCTTTAAACTCTGCTGCCAGTTGAGAACCATTGACTTAAATGACTCTGATCATCTCTCAGCTTTCTTAAGTTTTCTGACTGACATTTTAAAAGTAAAATTGACTTTTTTCCTGAAACTTTTTTGTGAAAAATTATAAAGAAATTATAAAGAAATTATATTTAAAGGAGAAAAATTTAATTCCAACTTTTTTACACAACTAGTGTCTTCGTTTTTTCCATGCTCCTTTCTAGTTTGTCTGCATGCTTAATATTACATGATAGAAATGTTGTTATGTAGTATTTATTTCTTGTCCCAGCTCCGTTTCCTTTCAGGCAGATCATTCCTAGTCTTCTTCCTTCTTTTTCAAGGCGAGATGTGATAGCTGATGCTGTCTCTCTCCAGTACACTGACTCTTGGACTTTTGTCAGCAAATCCCCAACTGTGTCACCTTCTCATCCAAAATGGTTTAGCAGTTCAGTTTAAAATGATAGAAATAGGATGACTTGTGCCAGTTTAGGGTCTGAAGTCTCCGCTGGACCTGCTTGCCTCCTGTCCATCCTTTATCTCAGGACAGCTCTCCCATTCTGCTGATGAGCTACTCCAGACATTGACCTCTCTCCTCAAGCCCCATTCTCAGCCCCTCTTCTCAGCTTCTGCAGGGAGCCTTGTATTCGTCAAGCAAGATCTCCCGCCACCTGCCTTCTTGCCCTCTGACTTACCTGCATTTATCGTCATCCTCATTCACTTCATTCCAGTTACAGGGGAGAAGTGGCCGCGTGCTGTGGAAGGCCACCCTTTCTTCTTGTGTTCCCGACTCTCTTTGCTGCTGCTGTTAAGGACCTGACTACATCCTCCTCTCTCATCTGCCTTCCGTGTGCTTTCTCTACCTCCTCTTCAGCCTGTTTCTAAATTCCCACATTTTACCTATCTTAAATTCAGTAAATCAGAACAGTCCCTTGACTGTCCTTAAACCCCTTTCTAATTTACACGGAAGCTTGGAAAAGTGAGAATAGACACTGGTTTTAATCTTGTAGACATTTGGCATGGCCTCTGTCTTAAAAGCTTTATCCCTTGGTTTTTGTGTCACTTCTCTCTGAAATTCCTTGTACCCCTCAGCATTGCCCCCCCTTTCCTTTGTAGGTCCCTTTTCTTCTTTAGAATGTAGATTTATATCTTTAGTTCAGTCCTCTTTGAACTTTTTGCTTTCTTGATTTCATTTACGACATATATATTGATAACATGTAAAAATCTCTTTCATATTTAGTAATCCACTTGCCCACTGGACATTTCCACTGTATGTCCCACCTACAGGTACTTCTAACAATATATTTAAAACTTACAAATAGACCTTTTTGGACATATTTGTCCTCCATTTTTCTCCCTTTCTTTTGGTGGCCCAACCATTCACCGTATCACCCAGGCTAGAAATGCAGATGTCGTTCTTGACTGCTCTTCTGTGCTCTGCTCTCCCATGCAGTCACTTGCCAAAATCTCCTAATTCTGATTCCTTCTCCTCCCTGTTATCACTCTCTTGGGTCAGGCTGCTACTCTCATCTGGAGTATTACAACATCTTGATAATGAGTTCCCTAGCGTGGTTTTGTTGTCGTCTAATTTGCCCTCCAGACAGCTGTCAAAGCCATCTCAAATGAAAATCCATCTGTCACTCCCCTGCTTGATCTTCCTGTCCCTCTGTGATCTGGCCCCCTACCTAGTTTACTAACCACATTGCTCCGCACTGTTCATCACAGCCTTTGTGTGACAGCATCACTGCTTGTAGTTCTCCAAACGTGCTGTGCTTGTCCTCATCTCTATATTGTCATACGATACATAGAATCTCTTACCCTAAAATCCGAAGCCTGTCACACTTCCATGTCTTTGGAACTTTTTACTCATCCTTTAAGACTCCCTTGGAGTTACCCATTTCCTGATGTGTTCTCCTTTGCCTATCTTCATATGTAAAATCCTTAGAGCAGTGCCTGTCTTAAAGTCATATTATCATGTCATGTTGGCTATTAATGTTATTACCACATTGTATTTTGATTTTATTTTTGTCTGTTTTCTCCAACAGCGGCAGAACCTAGCAGTGACTGAATGATGACTATGTAGTATTTCCTCAAGTTGCTACATTGTATTTCACTTGTCTCCGTATAGGACAATTGTACATTTGTAAACTTGTAGGTTTTCTCATACTTAAGATCATTTCTTTGTCATAGATTCTTAGGCGTGGGATAATGAATCAGAGTGCAGATGTTTTTATGACTCTCATATGTGCAGCCATATGTTTGTCCAGAAAGGTCAGTTGTGATGGTTGATAATGTATCATTTTTTTCTACAGTCTTGTTAATCACAGTGGGAATTTCTCCCCCAAATTTAATACCTACAAAACAATGCCTTTAATACTTTAATTAGTATTTCTTCAACAAGTTAATTAGAACATTTTGCCAATTATATGTATGTTTGTGAGAACTGGTTGTTTGACTACAGGGCCTAGAAAATGCTCTTAAATATTTGAGCAGGCTCTTCATATACTTGAGATATAAATTGTTTGTCATATTTGCATAGGTTTTCACCAGCTTTTAACTTTAATTTTAATTGTATAGATGCTTAAAAATTTTATATAGTCAAATATATTTATCCATTCTTAATAGCTTCCTTTGCTACATAGCTTAAAAATGTATCCATGATCTACAATCATCCTTTTTTGTCTTGATTTATGATTTTTTAAATTTCTAAACTCTTTTTAAATTCAACTGCAAATCACTTTTCATATGTAATAGTCTTTCCCAATTGCAGTATACATAACAGCATTTTGGAACATCTCTTCCATGTTCTTTGTGATGCTCATTTGCTATGTTAAGGCTTTTGTAAATGTCTATTTCTGATCCCTTATTAAAGAGACTGCAATATGTATTTTTTGTTCTAACATATCTGAAGGAAATGGCTTACTTTACTCAGTAACAACACATTATAATTATTTGCTTATATATTTTTCTTTCTGGAAAGATAGATCATCCACCTGTATGTTCTAACTTCTTGCTTGCACTACCGCCTCAGTATGTACTTCTGGACGATTGAATCATAGTAAACAAAATGGACTAACTAGAGGGTAATGGTACTTTACCCTGCACATATATAGGGCATATGAAATGTAACTGGATTCCTGCCTCACTTAACAATAGGTTTCCCTTTAATACTGTTAGGAGTTTCTTATAGACTAAGTTGACAGGGTATTTTCTCTTTGATTCAGGCCGTTCTCTGCAGGAAAGTGCCTCATGGAAAAAAATCCCCCTTCTTACCCTTCAGGCACGTTTATCTTTCTGCTTATTTCTGAGCTGCCTTGAAATGACTCTGTGCCTATAATTACGCTGTTCCCTCTGCTGTTGTGCTCTTCCTTTTCTCTGACAGGCATCTCTTACACATCCTTTGAAATGTAGCCCGAGTTACTATTTTGTGTGTAATTTATTTTGCTATATGGCCTGTGTTCCAGTTTGCTTATTTGTAAAATGGGGATAATAGTACCTGCCTCCTTCAGGGTTGTAGTCAGGATCAGATGCTTAGACACCTAAAAGTACTTTGTTCTTGGCACTAACTACTCAATGTGTGTTAGCTGTTGCTGCTGTTACTGGCCTTTGTTTACATGTCAGACTCCAGCAGACTGAGTTCTTAGAAGACCAAAGTGGGTTTTTTTGTCTGTTTGTTTTTCTATAGCTTAATAGCTGGCATATTTGAGAAGAATTTTTTCCCTTAAATGAAGAAACCATTCGTGACTCACTTTTCATCATTGATTTAAAGCTTCTTGTTAGGGTATTTTAAATACAGTTAAATACTTCATGCTAATTTTTTTAAATATTTCAGAATGAAGATTTATTAAATGAAATAAAACAACTTAAAGAGGAAATAAAGAAAAAAGATGAAAAAATTCAACTGTTAGAACATCAGCTTGTAAGTATTATAGTATAGTATGTAAAGTGGGGACTTTTCAAACTGACAGTATATATTTTTTATGAAACTTGGAATTGAAATTTGACTTTGTTTTTGGCTTTCAAAGTTGCACTATTCTATTATTTTTAGATTATATGCACTCTAAAAGTACTTTCAGGCTAAATATTAAGTATTCAAGGTGGAAAGAAAATCTTTGTCAGTCCATTTTCAGTGGCCTCTGTTTTGGGGATTTGAAATTCACCAGTTCAGGTACATTTATTGATGCAGGGTAAATGTCTTTCCTTCACGTATGCTTAAAGAAGTGAGTGCTATGCGTTGAGGACAGAGCATTTTCTCTCTGAGAGCAGAATGAAATTGAGGATTCAGGCTTAAGTATTTGCATGGCTGTCAGTAAAAATTCTAAAGAAATATTTTTTCCCATGGATAATGTAGGGTGGTCCCTCAGAGCCGTGTTTGAACCTTTCTAGTTTTATAATTGTTACAATTTCATGTTAGTCCCGTACGAAAGCAGTCTTTGCAGTGCCTTGAATTCAATTATAATTTAGTTTGAATGGCCCGGATAGCAAGAACATAATGGCATAAAAATCACAATAGGCCAAGGAAAATCTTTGTTGGAAGTCAAAAGCATGTTTTGGTATAGTAAAGCAATTCGGCAACATGAAGTATTAATCTCAATCAGAATATAAAGGATATAATATACGGAACTCGGAGCCACTGGGTTCAGTGCAGATTCAGCTCGTGAATAAATAGTAAGGACAGACATAGGATATTATGATTAAGGGTACAAAGAAAACTTAAGAATCTGAGAAAAGAATAACAATATTGCAAATTGAGGACCTATCAAATATAAAATTAAAAAAGAATATAGTAAGACTGATTTTTATTTTTTAAAGCTGAAGATAAGGATCCAGTCAACCCAGGCAGTTTTCAGGGAGAAGAAAAAAGACAGTGTTAGGAAATTAAGTAAACTTCAAATTTTGCAAAAGTGTATTACAGAGCACAAGAAGTTGTTGTGTCTGGTACACTTCAGAAAAAAGTTTATTACCTCCATATTTCATATCTAAACAAATTTTTATTTATATATGAAGGTAAATTCTCAGAGTTTTAATGTCTTGAAAAATGTGCCACCCAGTTATCTTTGTAAAATTGCTTAATAATGCACTCCACCTGAGAGAGAAATTGAAAAATAGGAATAAGGAAATAATGATTAAAATGAATGAGTGGTGAAATGAAAACCCTTTAGAGAGAGTAGGTAGGATAAACTTCCCAACCACTAATGGGAGCAAACTTATTACACATTATTTTATCTTAATGTAATTATACATCATTTGAATCTTGGCAGTTTTTTTGAATTTATACATTTTTAATTTTTTGAAATTAAAAAAATTATTTTTAGTTTTTAAAATTTTAAATTGCTATTAATTTTTGAAAATGTTTAGATTAAATAAAATAAATTTGAGGAAGAAGGTAAGGAATATGCTGAAGAAGACAGAAGTACTGAATTTTTTATCTTCTACAAATGAATATGTAAAATTATTTTTTTAATTATTTGAAAAATTATTTTTAAAACTATTTTTATATACTTAAATTATAAAATGTTTGTGAAATACTTTAGGATAACTGTTAGTAGGTTAGAATAATGTATCTTGCAAAAGATAAAAGTAAAGAAAAACCAAAGTAGAAAAATCCCAAGGATATCTGAAAATAGCAAAACTAAAGTGACAGAAATTAGACCAAATGTAATAAATATAATAGTAAAAGCAAATGATTTTATATTATGGAGAGAGTGTAATTGAGGATTTAAAGCAAAATCCATTAACTTTCTTTGTATAAAAGAAATCTAGATAAAGTAAAATGGCACAGTGATGCTGAATATAAAAGGTTGGGCAGGACAGGATAAAATTATTCTCATCAAAAAAACTGGGGTTGTGATATTAAAATTATAAAAATTTAAGACTGAAAGAATTATGAATAAGGTCACTTTATATTGATACATGATTAGTAAATAATGAAAGATGAGGCTTTTTATATTGAGAAGTTTTAATAGTGTTCTTTTCACCTCAATATACTTATTTAAAAAATAAAAACAGTTCTCTTCATAGCTGAAATATTGTCATCTTCGATCAATTAATAATAGTTCCTAAATATCTTCTAATAGCCAGTCCATATTCAGATTTCTCCAGTTCCAAACGTATCCTTACGTTTGTACATTACGCCTGGTTATCCCCCTTGAGTCTCTCTTAATTTAGAACCATCCTTTTATGGTTGTCATCACTCGTTGAAGAGGCTGGGCCAGTTGTGATGAGCAGTATCTCACCTTGCGATTAATTTTTGGAAACGTTTTAGAAATATCTAACAGAACCCTAAAGAAAGAAAGAAAACAGAAAAATGGTGAAAGCGTTACTCTTTAGCAATATGTGCTTTGAAATCCTCTGTATTTGCTGTATTAAACCTAGTGATCGTATTTGGAAAATCCTATCACCTATCTTCCGTTTCATTATGAAACTCTAGAAAGTCACCTGTTCAAATCAGGGGAATTTAAAGATGTCAACCACTGAAAGTAGAGACAACAGCATTTTTTACATTATCAAAATCAAATTGCCTTTCTATTTGCAGTTTTTTTCTTTCCTGACATCCCTAAACTGCTTTTCTTAAAGTAGCAGAATGTCATCAGAAGAGCCATGACTAGGAATTAGAGGACTTTTCTTACCTTCAGTATTAATTAGCTGAATAACATTGGCAGTTTCCGTAACTCTCTAGTGCTTTCTTTATCAAATAAGTGAAGATTTTTCTATTTGATTTCAAAGTCCCGTTTCAGTTCTGGCTTTCTGTGCTTTTTATCTTTTTTCAAAAATATGCGCTCAACTCTAACCTACGTTTGCATGCAAACTTGCAGACAAACAGTGTGTTGAATTCGTATTTTATGTGAAATGTGCAGATATAAAATCAGATTGCAGTGCTCCAGGAATTTAACTGAAAGGGCTAGGGGCTCGACTGTTCTGACCTTATTCCAACATGCAAGAATGCTGGTTTATTTTCACTTCCATACACTAGTTAAATAGTAGTTAATTTAGATACATTTGCTCATTGAATCCTTAGAATAATTTTATGAAATTACTAGTGTAGAATTTTCTTTATGGAGACATAGCATGTGATATATTTGAAAAGCCATAACCAGCTTTGAAGCTGAGTAGACCTGGGTTTAAATCCTGGCTCTGAAACTTCATAGCCATGTTCTCTTAGGGAGGTTCCTTAATTTCTGTTAAGCCTCTTCTGTATGTGGGGATAATAAAAATAATACTGACCATACAGGGCTGTACTAGTTAAATGAACTACATATGTAAATACCTAATGATCTGCCTGGGCCATGGGTGGTTGATAAATAGCAACTCTTATTTAATGTCTTTCCCCAAATCACCAGCTAGTAAATCAGTGCATTATCTTATGATGTTTTAAGTTCCAAGTAAAAGTCCCCAAGTAAAAGTGACTTAAAAATAAGGACATTTGTAAACTCAAATAACAAGAAAGTGTGTAGGTCTCATCCATTTCCACGGCTGCTTCATTAGTTATTGGGGTAATAGTGAAGTTCTAGGTTGGCTTTTCTGTAATCCTCTTGGCTGTGCCTTCATGGTCACCAGATGTCTGCTATGGCTGTGTGTGTCACCTGTTCACACAGTAGCCCCAAAGGTGGGAAAAGAGCTTGTTTTCTCTAGCATGCCTATTTTTAAAATCAAGACCACTTTCTCAGAAATAACCCAGACTTTTCTCATGTTTTATGTGCTAATTTGAGTTCTTGGTCCCTTCCTAGGCATATAGGAGTAGGATTAACCAGATTGGTTCAGACTAATCAAAATCTGTCTTTGAGTCAGAGAGATAGGATGTGCTTCCCTGAGTACGGGACCACACGGAAGGGGAGCGTCTGAAAGAACCTGTCAGTAATAAAGGAGGCAGATGGCGAGGGGATGATTTACACAGACATTTTACGCCTGTTAAGTAATGTGTTTGCATTAAGATCAATGTTTTATATTATCTTTTCTCTTCTTTACATATCTCCTATATATGTTAAAAGTTAGGTCCTATTATAGTGAATTCCAAGAGACTCTAAGTTGACCTGCTTATATATTGAATTTTGTCTCAGTGACTACACCATTTCTGTAGTACAGAGATTTTTGGTTTTGATTAGATTTTATTTTGTATGTGAAAATAGAAATGATCTGATTACAATTCAGAAAATCTTGAATATTGGTAAATATTGTTAAAGTAGAAACTTATAATTTTAACTTAATGCAGTAATCAAGAATTTGTTATATAGGTTTTCCTACAAAGAAGTGTGTTTACCTCCAGTGGAGTTGTTCAGCAAATAATACGGTTGTATTCCAACTTCACACTAAAGAGAAATTCTCATTATCATTCTTTTCATTCTTTTTTTAATTTGATATTTATTTGAGAGACCGAAGTTTATATAATAGGTACTTTGCTTTGTGTTGTATAAATGACTAAATGAGTATGCTTTGAGTGGAATCGTGTGTAGAGAATTCATTTGTGAACTCAGATGGTCAGATGGATCTTGTCAAATGGGCAGTGATCCTTCAAAATATTCCAGTCCAATAAAGTCAGCACATCATTAAAGGGACTTAAAAGCACTCTCCATGTGAGCACGCAGCCTTACGTGGATTGGTGATATTTGAGATCCTGTAGAGTCGCATCAAAAACGAATTTAAGAACTTGTGCTGCAGTGACTGTTGTACCATAATAGTTTAGGGAGATCCTTAAAATTTTATAGTTGGATTCTTTATATACTATATATTGCCATATATATTCTACATATATATACTTGGTACTGTATATATTTATATATATAAAATTTTAGGTAGTGTGTTTCATACGCAATATAAGAGATTGCCAAGGGTCATTTTGACTATTTAAAATGTTAGCCTTACTGGTGGTGCTAGAACCCAATCTCTGAATAAGATGGGAGACTGCTGAATAGACCTTGATGTTTGCCCTTTTCTGTTGTTTTTTTTTTATTCCCCTAAGAGAGACCCTAATTACTTTGTTTGCATGTGTATGTGTATATGTAGAATTACACCAATGTAAAAATTTGTGGTTTTGTTCAGGCAACTCAGTGTAACTGCCACCAAAAATCTAAAGAGGAAAAATGCACATATGCTGATAAATATACCCAAACACCCTGGAGAAGAATTCCTGTAAGTAACATAGGCCCTTAACTTCTTCTCTTGTCATTTACTATTTTGTTGTTTTGTTCTGCTCTTTTTACTTGAATCTCTAATTAAATTTTGAATTTGTTGTGACTAATTATTTTTAGGTAAGTTGATTTTTTTTGTGTGTGTCTTAGGGGTTTATGTGCTTTCTAAAGCTTTTCTTTTGTGTCTTATATAAATGAATGTGCATTTAACAGCTTTTCCATTCTGCTCACTGTAGCCCATTTTATTTGAGTGTCTAGTCTCCTCTCGTTGCATGTATTTATGGGAGTAGTATTTCCCTGAAATAAATGTAAGTCCAAAATGCCGTCTTCCCTCTTGAGCAGCATACGACTCTTTGAAAACATATGATGTAGCGTATTCTCTTTTTTGTTGAACTATATTCTGTTTTCAAATATATTCTATTATTACAATTACTCAAATGTTGAGGTTGTTAGGAAGTATAAATGCATTAAGATATAGACAATAAAGTTTCGGTTTTAGGCATAGTTAGGGAACGGTTTCTTCTAAACAGTAGAAAGGACCGTGCATTCCGTGTGTCTTTGTTGTTTTTCAAAAGTGTTACATCTCAAAACATATTTAGCACTAAAATACACCGACCGTAATTTAATCTGAGTTCTTCTGAACTCAGTTTGGGATGTGCCTGAGCCACAGAATTGCCATATGGTCATCAGTCATCGTTATCCTATTGTATGGTGCCAAGTAATAGGTATTTCTTAAGAGAATGTCTAATAAGCCAGCCTTGACTCTTGTTTTGCCTTATTTTAGCAGTGGAATCCTAGTAACACAAATGAACAGGGAACTATGACAATTAATGTAATCAACAATCCAATTTTTAAGACTTGGCTATAGGCTTTTAAAGTTTATAAAATGCTTATTTCTTTTCATTCTGATGTTTTTTGTGTGCTCTGTGTAAGGTTTGATGCTAATAATTTATTCAAGAAAAGTTTGGTGAACCTCTTCCATCTCAGTTATAAGGCTCGAAGTAGAGGAAGGGAATTAAGGAAGGACATACACAGACGAATAAGGAGTCCTCCGTTAGCAAGTGCTTATTAAAGGCACTGGTGTGTGATGTAGTTAAAGTGTAGTAAATCCTGTAAGGCTCGGGCTGGGGAAAGTCTGGTTGGAAGAGTCAAGGTGTTTGGTGACGAAGGTGAAGGCAGTGGTTGAGTCATAGAGAGCAACAGCTGCCAGCAGCCAGGGATGGTGTAGTATTTCTGTACTGTCAGAGGATACGCAGACTTCATCTGTTTGGCGACATGCTTCCTGTTTCTCGATGGAGGTTTGGGCTTTCCAGGTTTCTCCGGTTTCCTCTCAGGGATGTTGGTGCTTTCCAACCGTCTTACTGGAAGTAGATGGGTGATTTCACTAAGTGTGAGAAGTTCCGTTTGGCCATCCTCACAGGAGTCTTTATACCATCTCTGGCTCCCTCAACCGCACTGTTCTGGAAACTGGCTATTACTCAGCCTGCTCGTCAGACAAAAGTGTATGGTGCAAAACAGCCCCAAGACATTCCTATGTTCCTGAGTTACTTTTACTGTGATCTTGGGTGAAGTGAAGGTCGATTTTCCAGCCTCGCACTCCTGACAAACCCAGACTTCCGGCTGCCTTATCTGCTACTGTGGGAGTCACCTGGCTTAACACCCTTGCTTTCTAGATAACCTAACAAAAGCCGGGGAGGTTAAATGGTGTTTGAAGTTTCCATCAGTCATCAGTGGCTGAGATGGTACCTAACTTCAGACTCCTGCCTGGTGGTCCAAGGTTCCTCTGCCTACAGGCACACTGAGGAGCTTGAGGATCGAGAGACGTTTTACAGATTGAAATGGGGGAAATAGCCTTGAAAAAAGGAACAGGCCAAGTAAAGGCAAAGAGGTGGGAAGATACAGTTAGGCAGTAATACGGACGTGATTTTGGCTGAAACATAGATGTGTGTTTAGGGAAGGAGTGGAAGTTAGTGTTGAAGCCTCGTTTGAAGGCAGAGTTCAAAATTTTAATCAGGAATTACTGTTAAAGTGGTTTTACGAAGTTGTATGTCTTTAGTTAGAGAAATAGTTACATATATTTATTTACTTAGTTACATGCTTATTATTAAATATGAACATTAAATACTGAGTTTATTCTCTGATTTTCATGTTCTTTGAACTTAGTGAGATTTACTTGAAATAAATTACTTTATTTTGGAAACTATTTACTATAATGAAGATTTTATTTTCTCTTTTAAACAGTTACGCTTGACTCTAAACATTCTTTTTTTAGCAGGAACCCAGCATATTTAAGTGAGACATTGAGGATGGGGATGGGGAGAGGCAGTGGGATTCTTCTCTGACAGCATCTAGTTTGTCAGGCAGTGATTTGGAAATCAAACCATGTTTTATTAAAAAAATTCCCGAGTTTAGTATAGGTAAAAAGTTTTTTGGTGTGGCTAAGCCTTTGGGAAGATTGAAAGTTACAATCTGAGTCCTTGTTCTTCACCGTTCCTTGCAAGCATGTGGGAAATTTAAATACCCTTCTTGACACTCCCTCAGTTGAGGATTTTAGAATTTACCTCAGAGGTTTGTGAGGCATATCTGAGCATTTCCTCTGTACATCTCCGGGAATTGGAAGGCAGAGAAGGATGGTGGAGGAAAGAGAGGTACTGCCTCTAATATTTGTTGGCAGCCATTTAGAAGGTGGAAAGAAGTGTGAAAAAAAATAATAATATAGACGTCTTAGGCAGAACCTGCCAGAGGAAGAGAGTGGTAGGCCCCCAACAGCAGCAGAGCAATGGAAATTTGATTTGTTGAGCCCAACATAAGTTTTCATAACTTTGCCCAAGAGGATTTTGTTATCACCTAGTGGCTGCGAATGAAGTTTTTAAGATGGAGAACCAACTGGAAATAAGAGGAGGAAGCAAGGCAGTAGAACAGGGGCAGGGAGCTAACGAGATATTCACTCACTCGTTCAACAGGTGTTTGTGTGCCTGCTCTGTCCTAGGCTGGTCCTCATCTGAGAGTGTAGACATGAAAAGATACAGTGCCAGCCCTCAGGCGCTTGCAGAACCTCTGGTGTGCCTCAGTGCTACTAATCTCACTCTTGCCTGCGCGTGGGGAAGCTCAGACTAAGAAGTGACTTGTGGAGGTACTTAGGCAACTTGGATACATAGTCTGATGCAGGAAGGTTTTCTGTGCCGGGTTTTCTAACTTGGAGGTAACATCTCAGTTGCCTCCCTTTTGAGTGGTTGCAGGACGTAAGGCGAGTAGAAGGAACAGAGAGGAGAACAGGGTCATAGCTCTGGGAAGGGAGGAGAGGCTTGATCTCACTGAGAGATCATGGTAAAGACAACAGGTGCCCAGGTTTACGCCGTGTGGTAGAGATTTTAGCAGTCCATTGTGATGATCTATAGAACATACCTGTACTATTGAAAATTCCTGGGAGAAAAGTTATTTATGGTTAAAAAGGCGTAGTTTCAGGGTGAATATGAAAGAAAAATTTTCCACAACCAGGTTAGGTTCAGTCCAATGTTAGTATGAAGAAATCTATTGACATAGTAGATTGCGTAAGTGATTTTCTCAATAGAAAGAATGATAAAATTTAACACCTTTTAAAGAAAAGAAAAAAATAGAATGCTGAGGATACTTTAAGAATGACGTAGAGTCAGAAAAAATGTATATCCTTAAGAGAGAAACACACTAAAATGGCTTTCTTCTTCCCTGTCCATTTTTGTTGACAGGTAACAATGTATTCATTCTATAGCAAGTGGAAAATAAAGAATCAAAACGATTTGAGAAAAATTTAAATTACTCAAATCATACTAACTACTGACAACCATTGTTAACATTTCATATATGGTCTTCCAGAATCTAATGTAATGTCTGTCATATCTATCTAGATGGAATTGTGTTGTACATGCTATATTCTAACCTGCTTATTAGGTGGTGGTGGTGGTGGTGGCGACTACTGATATTATTTCTATTTTCTTTGATTTTTTGCTAAACCAGAATTGAAGGAATGCGTTACTTTTAATCGAAAATGAATTCCCATAGTGGCTAGTCCTTTGTAAGTTTCTTGAAATACATTACTGCATTTTTTTCTTAAAGATTTATACAGTTTATACTACCATGAGCTAAGCTGTGATCGGAAAATGGCTGGTGGCCATGATATTAGGTCATGTGGTTCAAATGTTTGATGTCATCAGGTTATAAGAGCCTATGATATTTACCTCTACAGAAGAGAAATATGTGCTGCCCTGACAGGACAGGTAACGTTTCGGCCAGGATGGCTCCCCTGCTGGGGGGTCACTCTCAACTATTTTGGTTCTGACCATTCCTCTTTGGGGTATGTTCTTACTTTACAACTTCTGGCCTTCCTCTTTCTAGCCCAGGAACCATTTTATTAGGTTCTGTTTTGCGTATATTCAACCTCAGCTTTTATTTATTCATTACGTATTTTGATCCTTAGAATTATAGGAGTGTCTTTCTGCCTATAGTAACATCTGGCTTTCATGCTACAGGTACTTATCGTGTTTGGAGCTTTACTGATAAGGATCAAAACTGTTTTGGGTTTAGTTTGGGTGTTATTTGTGAAATTGAACCATAGCAAGGGAACAGTAGTTAATCACCTGCTGGGTGCTCTTCATTTGGGCTGTGGCAAAGGTGTCTGCTGCTACAGGGAGCTGCCTAAGACGTGCTGTAGGAGTATTATATGACCCTTTTACGTATAGTTCCTGTTCAAGAGCAGTGTTTCCAATGTGAAGCATGTCTTACCTTTTAGAATAAAGTATGTGAGGCTATCCTCTGCTTAGGAAAGGGATAACATAGGGGTGAACTGCCCAGAGCCCTGCCTTATAAAAAGCAGGCAGACACAGTAGGTCTGGGTTTCAAAATTGAGAAGGAGAGGCTGCTGTAGAGAACTTGCTGTGCTGTGCAGTGCCACAGTGTAGCCAGTAGCTACATGTGACTGAATACCTGAAAATGTGGCTACTGTGACTGCAGAAGAGGATTTTAAAT